AGAGACAGTCATTTTTACAAACTTCGTTAATATTATAAATGCAAAAGTTTATTTTGATCTTCGAGACCTTTGCCGGGAGCAACGGTTCAAGGGATTTCGGTTTAATTACTTTTAAATTAATAGTATTCTATATTCCCTTTAATATGCTTTACAGTATTTGAAACGTGGAGGGTTTTAAATTAGAAAATGAATCGCAACAAAATACGTAAATGAGTTTTTTTTTTTAAATGAATAATATAGCGTGAATTAGAAGTCACTACTAACCGTCTAAATTTATACATAACAGGAATTGCATAACTTAATAACACAGTCCCCATCCCATCATCGTTAAACTAGATGGTAATCAATCACTTACCATCAGGTGAGCCTCCTGCTCGTTTACCCCTTTTCTCCATAAAAAAGACGCTCTGCAGGATTCCGTCCTTTTGTTTCTGACAGTCCACTTCTTCGATTGAAGAGAGCAACAGTTTGCTGTTGCTCTCTTCTTTCTTTGGATGGATTCGTCCCACTCACCAAAATGCAATAGTATAAAAGCTATTTTTTAACGCCAGTCTTCTTTGACGCTTCGGTGTTGTCGATCGTCGACAAACCCCGAAATGGCAACGTAGGCGTTGGGCGCGTGTCAAGCGCGTGGCAAATTAGCAACGCCCCCGCGCAATCCTCACGGTGCACCAGATTTGGCAGCCGTGAAATCACGTTTTGAGAGCTGCCGTTATTTTTTATCGGTGGGTCTTTTAGATCCTTTAGTCGATGTTTTTTTTATGTGAAAAGTTTCCAAGCGAGCAGACGGTTCACCTGTTGTTAAGTGAATACCGCCGCCCATGGACATCTGCTACACCCGAGGGTTGCAGATGCGTTGGCAACCTTTTGAAAATTGGGCTCCGGCCACCTCACTCACCAGACGAAACGCGGAATTATTATACTTCCACTTTACGCCGGTCTTCTGTGAGGTCGTGGTACTAACCCGGACGAGCCTGCCCATTCGTGCAACAGCCGAGGCCGCTGCTGGCCGTAATGATAGGAAGTATATGTCGGAAAAACAAAACGTTTCATTGTTTTATTATCTCATTCTTGATACTTGTAGAAGACGCGGACTAATATTTACGTTTAATGTTATAACGATAAGACCTTTACTTGAACTCCAGTGTCAAATTCAATTTCAATTAGGTTTAACGATTTTTTTTATTGTGGTAATCGTTATAGCATTTGTATCTGCTTTGTCGAACACTCAGAGGGGTAGGTAGACATTATAGGTTTTACTTCTCAATTTCATTGACGATTTTCATAACCGTCATCGTATGTGTACCTTCCATGTCTATAAATTTAGCATTAAGACTTTTTTGTGGCCATACATTAGAGAATTTTATTAGTTAAATGACATATAAACTTATATCAACCAATTTCACTTATATATTAAATGCCGATGAAATTAAATTATGATAAATCAGTTTAAACGGAACTATAAGCCATTTTTAGTCTTCATTTTAATAAATTAAATTTTACGCATAAAACTACTAGATCCATGGGACACTGAGCTGTCCTGTCGCCTTTAATTCATTTTACTCGAGCAACCTGAGTCCGATCCCCGGTTCCAGCTCCAATGAAATTGTAATTTTAAGTGCTGGCTTATCACGTGCAGGAAATCTGCATATTTTCGAAATAACACCAAAAAATATTTCGAAAATATGTGAAGTCCGCCAATCCGCAATGGTGCCGCATGGTGGACAATGCCCTGACACCCTCTGTACAGAGGAGAACTTTGCCCGGATGTGGGACATTTATAGTACGCTACTTTACTGTCTATCTAAATTATTTTAATCTTCAAATTATTCTTACTCCCATCGCTTGTCTAATATTCGTCACCAGCCGATCGCTCTTCTACATCTATCGTCAAGGCATCGCCGTCGACGGTAAGCTTCGCAGATCATCCGAAAACCGTTGATAAATCGCGTTCGCTCATCCAGAGCAGCTGTCGCGGCGTTTATGAGACCGGAATTTATGACGCTCCTCAACTAAGCCGCGATCCGATGACAGCTGGCGGTGCTAAATCATCGAGGACTAATCCCGGGATTAACTCGCGCAACCCAGATCGCGATTTGTGGTTACGGGCCGATTAGTTCGACGCCTGCGCCGGGATCTGTGTCGTCTTAAATAGTCCGTTTAAATAGTTCTCGAACTCTTAATGGATGTTCGCCGCAGTTCGGTCCGTATTCCGGATTTTGAAGCGGTTTTTTGCGGCTTTGCCATAAAACCTCACCCCCTCCATATTTTGTACTGGCAAATATGTAGACATTAAATCCGAGTCTTGTTGTGTTTTGCAATGCAATGCAATATCGGTTTAATAGTTTTGACTATGGTAGGACCACGCAACAGCTTTGAATGTTGCTCGAATGGGCAAGTCGGTCCGGGGAAGTACCTCACAGGAGTCCTGCGAGAAGTGGAAGTATTATACTTCTACGTTTCGTCTGGTCAGTTTATTAAAAGGTGGCAACGCAACTGCAACCCTACGGATGTCAGTGGGCGGTGATTATCACTTAACATCAGGGGAACCGCCAGCTCGTTTGCTACCTTTTCACATAAAAAAAAAAACTAAATAAATATATTTTTAAAGGCGAGCACTTTAGCTTTTTTGCAAATGATTCTTATTTTATAATTTCTTGCCTAACGACCTATTAACTAATTGATTTTCGACGATTAAATAAATATCACATGTTCACATGTATCGCTTGACTTATAGGGGCTCATACATTTTTACGTGAAACGGTGGCAAGTGATCAGGCTGAAGGGTTTCAGATCTCTTCTCGTCTCTGAAAACAGTGAACCACAATCACCATATGCTTCTACACAGTGGTCTTCTCTGCCCATTTGTGCAATAGCGGAAGCTATTGACACTTGTAGCCCTGACACAGTAGAAACATAAGAGTGAAGTAATGTTTTAAGCCATCACCATTGGGTACGAGTTCTGTTTTCCTTTTTAGTGGATTTGTCTGCTCTTGAATATTTTATCTTATCGGTATAGCACCGCACTGCTTTCCATAAGGTGAAAAATATCAATAAATTAACATCGTAATATGTTTTTTGTTTGCAAATTACGGTGTCCCGGATAGAACCCAAGACCCCAAAGGACAGCTTAGGCATGGTTTCCTCCCACAGGACAGCCATATTGCTTGGATGGAATATCACCATCATCATCATGATTATTTCAGCCTGTTTGATTCCACTCCTGACCATAGACCTCCCCCATAGTCTGCCACGAAGTACGATCCTGAGCCACCTGCATCCGTCCACCTCCCGCACATTTGCGCAGGTCGCTGAATGTAGTTTATTATATTTTTTATTTAATTACTATTTTAATGAACCGATACCTCAAGACGTGTGCGGAATAGTGTTGGAAAGAGACGGAAGCCCCTCTGCCCGGCCCCGCACCACTAAGTGGGCGTGTCGCTTCGACGCCCGGCGGCGCGTAGTGATGTCGCTCGTGGACTGTCGATAATTCCGCTCGGAGAGTTGTCGATAACTCTAGTGGCGAAACGGAATTGTCGATAGCCCTCGCTGCGGTCGTAACTCGCGCGCTTTATCGCCCGCCGCCCGCTTGACTGACGGCCCGCGTCTACCACTGCGGCCTTGCGCGTTTTTTACGGCGCCGTATGTCGATAGAGCGTACGCGTACGAATGTTTGAGTGCCTCCATTCGGTGTGTACACCGATCTACGTATTTTATAACGACAAATCAAATTCAAATTTGGAACTGTTCTGTGATTAAATTTTACTCGGATAAGCCAACGTCATTTTTTGATTCTACGATAACATTTTTAGCAGTTTTTATTTTTTTAGTTTAAAACATGCCAGCTGATTTTTTTATAGTTTCTATATTGTCCAAACAATATTTTAAATTTCTTAATTAAGAGATGAGAGGCTTAAAAATTAAATTTAAGCAATTCTTAACGTTATTATACACGATTTGAATGACGATAAAATTTATTATCTCGAAATCAAATAATGAGTTAATACATTTTGCCTGGTATTAATATTAAAGACATTCTTTATTTATCATGGTAGAAAACGTTTTCATTTTGAAATACGAGCTAAAAGTCGAATATCTGATCCGACATAAAATCACGACGGGGCGCAATGCCACAGCATAAAATTACTCGCTACATGTCTTTTAAACAACTGGATTTTAATTAGCGCACGCATTTAAAATAATTTATGCTAGGACTCGGAAATATTTATAGTTGGCTCCGCATTGAATAGCCGTTGTAGTAATAATTTTACTTAAATAACTCACGTGAACATAATTTTATTGTTTGCATATCGTAAAACGCGCAGTAATCCCCCAGGCTATGAAAATTACACGTAATTAACGTGGCTGGCACTTTGGTATTTTCACTTTATCTTTTCTCTAAGTGTACCATGGTACATGTATCATCTATGATGAGTTATGTTATCAACGGAAGATACATGTTTCACGCGCACACACACACACACATTTCGACCCTCAATATATTTCCTAATATTTGAGGCATTCGTAAAAATGATCTCGGGATTTTAATGGTTATTTTATTTATTTTACTATACTATTAAAATCTGAATAGTTATAATACAACAAACATAAATTATTTATGGAAGAAAAAACCGATTGTCTTGAAAAGTCTAACTAAGTACTCCGCTATTTTCCGAAAAACATTACCCTCAAATCACGGTTAACCTATCACATTTGACTGCCACTATTTGTACCACGACTCAACACGTTATAAATATGTTGGTGAAAAACATTTAACAAGATCATCCTATAAGCTCTAACTCGTAACTTTCAATATGACCGCATTGTAAAGCGCTAACCAGTTTACATTACTACAAAAAGAACTTTTCGTGCGCCGAGTTAATAAATAGTAAACTACGAAGCCCATTTTCTGTTTTATTCACAAGCTATTACCCCACGATGTGTTTACATACATTTAGTTTTTAATACTCGCTCGCTGCGTTTCCAATTTGCGCGGAATGCTCGCGAACGGGGCGCTGCGAGAAAAAGCTATATTGGCGCGGGGCGATCCGCCGCGCGGCTTGTATGTCTGGCGGGCCTTTTACGGGCCCCTATCGGTTTACGCTGGATTTTTATTGCGGAGGTATGTCTCATTACAAGTTAACCGATGTACCGGGTATTTCGCACGCAACTGTGTCCGCTTGCAAGAACGCTGAGTCGTTATTAGGTATGCTACAAAACGCTCGAACTGTGAGATACAATGAAAAGAAGTAAGCCTTTAGTTGAATTTTTCACTTTCATATTTTTATTTTCATTGAGGCGTTAGTCTAAGTCAAATTGGCAACCTTCTTTTTCCTTTTTTACCTTTTCTTTTACCTCTTATTTCTCTATCAAGCTGGTAGGGCCACGCAGCAGCCTCGGCTGTTGCACGAATGGGCAGGCTCGTCCGGGTAAGTACCACAACCTCACAATGACTGCCGTAAAGTGGTAGTATAATACTTTCGTGTTTCGTCTGGTGAGTGAGGTGGCCGGAGCCCATTTTTCAAAAGATTGTCAATGCATCTGGGGAACCCTCGGGTGTAGCAGATGTCCATGGGCGGCGGTATTCACTTAACTTCAGGTGAACTGTCTGCTCGCTTGGCAACTTTTCACATAAAAAAAATAGTTTTTAATAAAACGCGTTACGGCGATCACGCGTTTATCTAGAATGTGATTTTTAAATGTTTACGCAGTATTTATGTATGAACTTTACATTATTATTAATAATTAATTTATAATAAAAAATATTAGTAATAATGGTGTGGGTTACAATGGCTTCAGAGTTGTCGTATGGAGTTAAGTGACAGAAAGCTAGTCTCCGACGACTCTCAGATACGTAGAGGAGAAAATGAGCATGCAGGTCCTTTCTTAGTGAATATGGGCACGAAATACACCCTAATGCACTGTAATGGACGACCCTATCGTGCTTATTTAGTACTAGCTGCTGCCCGTGACTACGTCTGCGTAGAATAGGCTGAAGGCGTAACATTCAGACAGATAGACAGATATACATAAAATATGAATATAAATTATAGCCTATGTCTTATTCTGATGTATAAGCTATATTATGGTATAGTTTCATTATAATTCATTCAGTAGTAATTGCGTGAAAGAGTAACAACCATCCATCCATACGTACAAACTTTCGCCTTTATAATATTAGTAAGGATAGTGAATGCGTGTATCCAAGGTGTCAATTTACCTCCGTAGAGTAGCCAGCTCGTAGCTCCCAATCAAATCGCACTAAACATGTACGGGAATAGCTTTGGAGATTGTGTTAGACAGCACTTTACAGCTCCAGCTACCTTACAGGAATTGAAAAATGAGTTAGTGGAAAAATTGTCCAAAATATACCAAAATCTTATAAAGAAATTGGTTTACAGCATGCCACATTATCTTAATAAAGTTTAATATGGTCTGTAATAGGAAATACAAAGTATTAAAACAACAAAAACACTTTTTTTTAAATGCTGCGATGTAAATTTTTTGTTGTCACAAGCTTGAACTTATTTTTTAAGCTATCTTTACTTAAAAAATGTAAAATTTTTTAATTAAAGATAAATACAAAACAAACTTTTACGCATTTTTTTGTGTTTAATAAAAGTAATAAGTCAGCTACACTGTACTGAATTTTAGATATATGTAGTTTAATAATAATTTTATAAGTATTACGACGAAATTTAGAGACATTTGTTTCCCAAACAGAGGGGCATTTGTTTTCAATTAAAACTACGTACTTGTTAAAAGTGACGCTGGCATAAACGTTTATATAAAAGTGTCTTTGAGGTTAAACCTATGTTACTGTTTGGAATGGTATTGAATCATTGTCGATAGATATCCGTAGAATATCACACCAGACATCAAGGCTGCCTAAATCTCTGACTTGTTAAAGGCTCACTACTAAATTGCTAACTTTCAACCTACGACCGTTACAAAACTGAAAATAATAAGAGCACAATCGTGATATATTTACTGCGAACACATCGCATTCACTTGTGCCGAGCACTGTATCTGGTATTCATAGTCGCGCGGCAATTTATTCATTGTTTATTTTGAAAACATCATCGCACGGATACGGCGGTGTTATTAAATAGGAGCGATCTCTTTGTATGTTTAGTGGCACTAACAGCAGTAGCCGTGCCCACGTAACTGCGGGCGCGTCACATAAGTTATAGATGTATACGGCAGAACAAATATTCCGCAGTGTGTTCGGTTTTTATGCAAATGACGCCGACGGGGGCTCGTTAACAAGGCCCTCTCTCTGGCTTTGAGATGCAATCTTAACTCGATTGGCGAAATCGCTAAGGTTGATGTTCGTACAGTTCGATTCCATGGAAAGGTTCACTGTGTTCTCTTCCTCGTCTTTCTCCCGCCTTTCCCCCATCTAGATGGTGTCGGCACAACTTGTCATTCATTCATGTTATTAATGGTAACGACTAATTGTTTTTACGAAACGTACTTAAGAAGTTTTACCCACACCCAGAACAATTATCTGTCGGTCCCACAAATACTTGCTCTGAGTGGAAATCGAACCCACGAGCCTTAAAAGTCAATAGCTTAGCAACTGCACCATCGAGCCATCGGCATCGGAAAAGAAGGAACCTGTGTGACCTTTAAATAATTATTTCGGGTTTCTGCACAATGTCATGCGTAAGGCTTTTCTACTGCACGACCTAATATTATTCTGCGGTGTGGACAATGTTTTGTAAGTGAATTTGTGAATGAGTGTGAAATTTGAAAGTTGAAAGTTGATAAAGATTTGGTATTAAGATACGAAACGTGTGTGAGTTGTGTGTTTGTTCTCGTCTCACAATCCAAACGCAATCCCAATTTGCACGTATTGAAAAAAATATTTAAAAAATGTTAGTTTTACGCTGGATTAACGCATTTAAGCTAATTTTATTATGCGAAAATTAAACATTTTTAATCAGATATAATCTAGTTATTAGCATGCAAAAGTCAATGTGTATCTTTAAACAGAACTGAATTATTTATCGTTTTCCGCGTAGCCTTCTGCGACAGCAATATATAATAACAAGCTTTGATTAAATTTAAATGTTCTCATATATCTAATACACATATTAAGCCTCACAGTGTGGACAGACATAATTGAAAGCTACGATGAAACTCGCGGAATTTTCTCATAATACCTTTCTCACAACTTCCAAGCAACATTTAACTAACGCCCTTCACAGGTTTGAAGGAATACAATTATCTGGCAACAAAAATTATTTGAAACTAAAAATCTAAACGACCTACCTGAAAGTGTGCCTACCCCGTTAAGCAAAGCGGTTTTCGTTGCAATTATCGCTCAGGCCGCGGAGCTTGGCGCCGCTAGCATTACGTAGGGTCTGTTGCACGCGTGCGCTTCGTTGCGTTAAGCCTTGCAACGTGGGCTGCGCGCAAGGCATAGGCGGTAGCGGTAACTGGAAGTGTTTCTGGAATTTCGGTTTTAATACCCTACGTTTCTAAGTCGTCTCAGTTACCCAAACTTAATTGAGTAATGAAGTTAGTTCTATCTTTTAATATTTTCATATAATGGATCATTAATGTATCAAAGTCTATTTTCGGTTCTCATACTCAGTACAATCAAAAAGCTATACTATCCTTATTCAACTTGTCGAGAGTTCCTTAATACCCATGACCCTCTCGCTGTGGACCAGCACGGCATCCATCGATTAATATAAATAATATTAGAGATATAATCACAATTTATCAATTAATGTAATAGGTAATTGTTATTAACGTATTATTTAAAAAATCTAAAATAAATCTATGTTTTTTTATTTTTTGATGTAAGGAATATAGAGAAACTATTATGTGTATTGGATTACATTGCGGGTCTCCTTGGACCTCCGCCGCTCATAACTTGCACCGCTCCTCAGCTGATATCTTGATTATCCTCCGCTTTGTCCGCGCCGACCTTTGTCTCCTGCACTCGCCCGAACCTATACTCAAAGTCTGTTGCATCTAAACCGACAAAGTCATATTTTGAAGCCCCCCTTTCTTTTGATTGGGTTTCACTCCTAAGCCATGCGTTGAGCCTTCAATGCAAATGTTTGCTTGTATTAATATGACTGATATGCGTGAATATTTGATAGGTAAATTTGATTGAAGTATAAACAATGCTTAGTTATTTATTTATATTAACTAAAGGATGGTGGGTCAAACCGAATAAACAGAGAAACGTATTGACGCATTATTTTGAAACACAAGTAAGTTATGTTACGAAAGTGTTATTTATTTATTTTGGATTACCAAGAAAATTACATGTACACAGAGATAAATAAACACAAATTTTATGGCAACAACTTACACGTAATCTCAACTATGGGTAGTCACAGCGTTCAACAAGAGTATTTGTCGTACTCATGGTATAATCGTTTTTGAATAGTCTAACTAAAGAGTAACACAAATGTAAAAAAGTATTATAAACAAAAAAAAAAAAATAATAAGTAAGTAATTCTAAGTGCCAAATCAATTGTCTTTCATCAATTCTTTATTGGTATCAACGAACGTAGACCTTATACCTACAGAGATTATGCTAATAATTTCCAGATGATATATGATCTTAAATATTGTGATTTCTTTTCTTGCCAATGCTTGCAGTAATATTTTGGTATGATGCGACAAATATCAGCATTAATATAAGTCAATGTAATTTTTTTAAATACCTTAACAATGTGTAAAGCAAACAAACTATAGTTAAATATAATAGTAGTTGTTAAATCACAAATCGTATTGATTCCGTCCAAAGATTAAATCGAACTCGGTCTATTGGCCTGTAGGTCCTATTCTCACCGAGTCACCCAGCGGGCAATATCATTTACGGCCAAGTAAATGGTGTAAATTATGCGCACGGATAAAGCGGTAGCATGTTCCGATTAGCGATTCCGATTGCGGCAGATATATTTATGCCGTTTCCCGGTCCTGAGTATTCCTGTATTGAATTACGACTTATTGCCGGATATCCTACGACGATATTCTATGAGAGAAAGGGGAAAGTTTTCGTCCATCATTGGGGAACCGAAGACTTTATTATTTAAACCGACTGTGGGAGTGCCAATCTCACTATTGTATTCAGTTCTCATCCTGCTTAGTTTAGTCAGGCATGGTAACATAGATAAGATAAAAATGAAGACGATTTATGAACTTGAACTTTTACAGCTACATTGCGTTTTATAAAATTACAAAAACGTGCATACCACTCGCAATCGCACCTATTATCCAGGGGATAAAAGACGGATTTTCGGTTTTCAATATTCTTTGGGCACCTATTTTCTGTCACACTATTTACTGGTAGACGTAGCAGTAACTCGGAATATCTCTCGTCGATATAAAATCGCCAAAAGCGCCAGTAGAATTGTCTACCGTGAAAACGTTTGACAGACTACTCGATCGAAAACCCTCTTTTGAACTATCGGCCGCGCAAAAACCGCACCGAACCCACTGCCCTTCTATCGGCGCAGTCCTCTCAATTAAAAAGCGCAGAGGTGCGCGCACCGCGCCGCCTTTTTGTCGCGCAAAAGAACCGCCGTCGCGCCCTTTTCAAGCCACGCACAAAGAGCCGCCGCGCCGGGCCGATAAAGAACTCGACGAACAAACGCGCGTGGGTCCCCAGTGCAAGCGGGAGCGGACGCGCTAGCGTTTCTCCACGATTAGCCGTGATTAACTCACACCGTATTCCACTACATTATACGTTTGCGAGCATATTTAGGCGGCTTTCGATGTTTTTCTGTGTGATAATATATTAATTAGTGTATTTCTGTGTGAACAAAATTTATTAGTGTTTTAAATTGTAAGTTCTTGGTTTAGTGTACGTCAAAGTACACCGAGAGAGCATTAATAAGATCAAACCGTAAATTTAAGTATATGATATATGTATTAGTATTAATTTTGAAAAGTGGTGGATAAATCTCAAATAATTTGAAAGATATGATATTCAGGAGTAGTATAAAAAAAAGTTAAAGATTAAGTTAAAAGTAAAAAGTTAAAGATATAGAAACATTTTTTTTTTCTATTAAAACGCTTTAACAAGTGAAATGAGGGGTAATATAACGTTCAGGAAAATTTAAGCTAAGATCGCTGTAGCTTACAAGCACAGTTAAATACGATATCCATACTAATATTATAAATGCGAAAGTAACTCTGTCTGTCTGTCTTGCTTTCACTCAAAAATTACATGAATGCAATTTGGTACACAGATACACAGCCTGAGAAAGGGCAAAGGCTATTTTTAATTGGAAAAAGTGTTGTAAAGGATTGAATGATATTTATTTAACGGCTTCAACGCGAGCAAAGCTGCGGGCGAAAAGCTAGTAGGTAATAAATCTTAAATGGTAATTTACAAATTTAATGTCTCGATATGCATTCGTAGGCAATTCAAGTACATAGCGGAAAACTAATCAATCAGTTTTAGATATTGCAAATCTTAAAGCGAATACTTGATTACAATGACTCAAAAATTTCAGATGAAATCCTATTATGTATACGTGCCGTTAATAACGTTCATCGCTGGCACTGTGACCGCGCACCGCAATCTCCAAAGCTTACCTCAAGATTTCAAAATTTAAAAGGTACGCAGAAACAAAAGCCTCCTTTCTCAGGGCCCCCTCTGAATCGAAATCCCGTCTTAAATCCCCCATTGAGCATTGTCCGCGGGCTGGAGCGATTTCGGAATGTTTCCTATAGAAAAAAAACACCGGTAATGCAATATACTATTGTTCGGTGATCCAAATGGCGTACGGTATCGGATGATCTCGGTTTTGTTAGACGATACTGTGTTGTTATTGTTTATCGCGGCGCGATTGTGTCGGGCCATCTGTTAGGTTTCATTTTTTACAAGTAACGTTAAATGGGAATACATCTTTAGAAAAGGCACCCTCAAACCAGCAGTACTAGCTAGTGAGTGACCTGAGGTCGCCGAACCAAATTTCAGTGACATTTTTTTTTTCTTTTTTTTATGTGAAAAGTTGCCAAGTGAGCAGACGGTTCACCTGATGTTAAGTGAATACCGCCGCCCATGGAAATCTGCTACACGTGTGGGTTGTAGATGAGTTGACAACCTTTTGAAAATTGGGCTCCGGCTAATTCACTCAGCAGACGAAACGCGAAAGTATTATACTTCCACTTTATGCCGGTCTTCTTTGAGGTCGTGGTACTTACCCGGACGTGCCTGCCCATTCGTTCAACAGCCGAGGCTGCTGCGTGGCCCTACCAATATACCATAAGCCAATGGCTATCCTGGTAGAGTAACAACTCAGCAAGAAGTTCACTTAATGTAAAATAAAGATAACCGCCCGTGGACAATCAGGACACTTGAGACATTGGAGATTTTGCCAGACACTGAACGAAATGTATAAGTATAAATATCGTCATCATTATTTTTGCGTACTTCCCTGTTAGGGTAAAAGACTCATGAGTTTCAAATCTATTTATGGAACAAACATTGTTCACCATATATTAAAATGATCCAGTCAAGTAACGGAGTAATAAAGAAATTTAATTAATAAAGAAAACTAATTAGTAAAAAAATAAAAGAAAGGGTTAATCTGCAGAAGTATTTTTTAGTCTTTCAAAATTGCCTCAGTCTATCGTCACACATGGAAGTATACTGCGAAGCGTCTAAAAACACTGGCAAATAAAATGCGAAACAATCCATACGTATTTTTCCATGATATTATCAAATCTTTAAGTACATTTAATTACAATGCATTAGACGTATAAATGGCAGAAAGCTGTTGACGCTCTTGACTGATAAACTCCACTCCATTGTCCATTGTTCGGGTCGGGCGGGATTGTGCCCAACAACCACCCCGTGTTGACATGCATTGTGTCTAGTTGGAGGGGCGGCTACATCCAATGCATTATCCTTAGATCCGTCATCGCCCACTCTTATGAAGGATTTTATCTGTTTGACAAACTGTCATGTTATAGTTTTTTTTTAATATATAATTGTTCTTTATTCACCAATCTTAAAAAATAGATACAGCGATAGATAATTATTTTGTTGTTTCCTTTATGTTTATCATAAAATTATTTTCTTCCGGGAAAGAAAGTTATAAGGTCTTTGTTTATTTTCTTCTTTAATTTTTAAATTCCTATATGCCCACCTCCTGTATTCAGGAGAAAAATTGTCTAAATACATGTTTAACGTGAGCCCAGTGGGAGGAGTGGAGTCAGGACTGGCGAAAAGTGCAGTTGATGTTCTAAATCCTTGGGAGAAAGGTTTTAGAACATTAACCGTACTTTTCGTGTCAGTTGCGCACAAAGTAAATGTTTCATTTTTTTAACACAATCTTATACAGTCCCTAATTGTGCCGAGAACCTATTTAGTTCAGCCTAATAGCTGAACCTATCTGTAACCTGAATTATTGTAATTAAAAATGTTCCACATATCCACCAAAACAAAGTTGGCCTGCTGTTCAATGAAATCGTCCATTCCACCGAACTACATACAGTTTCGTACGAAACCAAGGTTGTGCGCACACTACCCGCCTCCCGTCGACCACAGTGATCGATGCCACTAATTTAATAACCTATTCTTTAACATGCGAGTCGACGACACCCGAGATGGTGGGCATAAAAATGTCGAGCCCCGGTCCAATCAATCTTCGCCGCGTACCTGGGGCCCGGAGATCGGATCCGCCAGATAACCCTTCCTCAATGCGTAATACCATTAAGACAACGGTGACAAACCGACCAAAAAATAATTCCCAACAGCTCTCCACGCGAACTAGCGCTCAAGTTCCGTCTCTAATCCGACGTGGCAAGGGCCAATTCTCGGTCGCGTCCCAACAATTTTTATGTCCGATGATTAAAAATGTGAGATGATGATCATTGCGGGGGCTCCCACTGCGAAGGTTTGTTTAACCTCTTTGTTTCTCTGGATCCCCGGTCGTGAGTCCGTTTTAATTAATGCCCATCACGTATTTTTTTCGACGTTGCTCTCGTCCGTTGTTGGTTTTATTTTTTTCCCCACTACTTGGTCATCGCTTTGGTTGTTTCTTTTTTCTTTCCTCTCGTCCTCGTGTCCGTTATTGAAATATGTCCGTTGGTCGTGTGATTCGATATCTCGATGTCTCCTATTGTTTTCGTTTTGATATATTTACGGCCTGGATTCCTGGGAGTGGTGTTTCGCTGTTTTTTTTTCTTCTTCGTACGCTGCGGCGTTCAGCGCGTAGGTGCACTGTCAAGGGTCGACGGGCGCTAGTGGTCACCGACTACCGGCGTTTTAACGTCCACCGAAGTGACAGCCCCTTATCTCTCACCGCTCTTCGGATGTTTCCAATATTAATGTTGTCCCGTATCTCGTTTGCGATTAATCAACGGCACTGAGCTGTCGCTTCTCGGAATAGGACCTAATAGCTCATAAATGGATGCGTTCTTCTTTGGATCGTTTCCGTTTTTTTTTTTTGTTTATCGCCATTTTGATAGTGATCAATGAGACGAAACTGAACAATTTCCTTAATAAGATCAAGTTAACAGAAGACATCATTAAAAAGGCAGCTGGTGTGTTTAATTATGACCAATTATACTGATTAGTTTATTTAATACAATGCAAAGACATTCCGTGACCGGTTCCTCATTCAATCGAACGGACCCGAAGTATTTATAGACGGACTACAATTAACGTTATACGAAACAAATAGAGCAGATAAAACGCGTCGCTGATCTCAGTTTTTATTGGACACTCGAAACGTTTATCGGGTTAACAAATCTTTGTGAACAGATCGTTTTCACCGTTGTATTTGGATTAATGTGAATGGATTAGTTCGTGCGTCATTTGAATGTTGACTGTTAATTTACTATCGTTATCGTTATCGAATACTGTTGTCTTTTCCTTCGCAAAGTTTTATTCCGTCCATCATTCACGTTTCAATAGACATTTGTTAACTTCGCGTTCGTTGAACGAACTTTTGCGTCACCGACTATATGTGACAAATTAAAACTCGCTTCTCCTACACCTGTTTTTATCGTCCCACCGAGCAAAATGTACCAGTTTTGCGATTCGTAAAAAAAAAACGCCTCAAATTTCGTTTATTTCGTTGCCTTTGGAAAAAAAACAACGTTATCTCCATACTCCCGCGCGTTTGTCTCTTCTATTTTTTCTCCGTTTTCGTTTGTAACGTATCTGTTTATCTTTCCAGGTAAGTGTTGACGAAATCCGAGCTCGCTCGCTCCGTCATGGCGTTCCGAGTTTATGTCCAACCTTCATCGGAACCGATCGGAGATAACGCACTGGTGCGCTGGTATGGTATACGCGTAGGAGCCCTCTGTTGCCTCTGAAGATCAACTCATAATGTACTAGCAAGGTCGGTGAGGGCACTTTAAAACCACTGCCTGCGGTTTACTGCATATCAAACGTTTTTACGTAATATGCCGAAAATGTTTTTATTTTTCTTCGAAATGTGTTTGCAAATGATGAGCAAAAATTGCAATTCCTATCCAATTCCTAATATTCTGTTTACTTCTAACAAGAAACTTCCTTAATGTTCACAACTTTTGATTACGGAACGAGTTAATTTTACATTTAATTATTTCACCAAGGAGTGGTAAAAAAACTTAAGACAAAACGACAGGTAACAAATGTCGTCTCTTATAAAACGATCCTTTGGCTCCACACGGATATCTTGTGCACTT